CACTTCCACGACCACCGTGCAGCACGTTATTCAGCTGCCAGCTGATGTCTCAGTCAACACGGTAGAGGGGCGCATCGTGGAAAGCACGCTGTGGGAAGCACTTGCCCTCATGGAGATGCAGGCCGATTCCTTGGTGACGGCCACAGCTTGGGGAAACGTCACCGTTGTGAAACTCCGCAGCTTGGCCGCTGACTTCGACAGTTCGGATCGTGTGGTGTTCAGCACCGGTGGTGCTGGTGGTGTTCGTGGTGTAACAGTTTCGGTCCCGCTGCAGTTGGTGCAAAACTTGATGCAGGGGGCGAACCCGATGCTCGCAGTAACGGAGGTCTTGCCGGATGTGTCCGAAACCATGCCCAGCAACGGCGAGGGCAGCAGCCAGGTTGTGTTGAACTCTCCAGTCGTCGAGATCTCCATCCTGCTGGAAGCTCAAGGCAAAGTATCCGTGGCCACTGTTTCGGATTTGGCAGAACCTATTCTTGTCAGACTGAGCGATGCCTCACAGCAGCCACAGGATGTTTGCGCTTTTTTCGATCACACTTCACGCGCCTGGAGTTCCGTGGGACTGCAGGCGATTTCCGTGAATGACTTGAGCGGGAGGTGGTGTCAAAGCACCCATCTGTCGATGCTCGCCATCGTGCACGTGGTTCCGTTTGAAGGTCTCATCGCCGAGCCAGACACCAGCTTCGAGTTGACATCCATAGCTCTTGCTTGTGCCAGCCTCTTCGCAGGGGGTGGCGTGCTGTTCCTCCTTTGGTACTATCGATGCAAACCGGCACGTGGGGGCTCTGTGCAAATCCAGGGTAAGGGAGATCAGACCTTCGTTGTTACATATTCGCGCTCCACAAGAAGTGCTGAACATGAACCAGACGAGCCCATGAAGTCAATTTCCACGAAATCTTTGAGCTTCATACAGGCATTTCGGTCCGAGGCTTCGGCTTCAGCCGCCAGCAAGGTCCACGTTGAGTGGAACATCCAGGCGAATGATTGGAAGACCCGACTCCACGACTTGGAGGGGTGGACGGGCGACTTGAAGCAACACCACGCAACACAGGCTGCAGAAGTGCTGCGGGGGCGGCCGGGTACAGAAGCCCCCAAAGATGCACCAGATTTGCTTGCCGCGCTGAAGCGTGCAGAGACGGCAGCCATGGAAGAGGCTGAGCGACTGGAGTTCTTGGTCGAGGTAGATCCACCCGTGCCATTGGATTCTGTGCAAGTGGCCGAAGATCCTCAAAAGGCGGCCATGCCATCCTTCTACGAGAACGGAGAAGCTGTTCTCTACTTTTCGATCACGAATCAATGTTGGCTGGTGGCACAGATCCATGGGGACCCCGCATGGATGAACTCAGAAGAGCAGATTGACCGCGAACCTGGGTTCTTTGCTTAGGAAGCTATCTTATGTTAGCATGCTAGGAACCTTTAGTAAATGCTGTGTTGTTAAGTAACTAAAACTACTGGTAAGTTCCTCAGCCAGAGCCCAGGATTTTCTTCCCACAGGCGAGCTTCCTCACTACGACTGCATCATACCGGGTCCGAAGCAGCTGCGACATCGGGTTCCCCTTAGCCAGCTCCGACAGAGATTGCGATGTGGGGAATCCGTTCACGTCCATGTACCTTGGTTAGGGCTTTTAGGATTTAGGATTTTTGGCTTGCAGGGCTTGGGGTTTTGGGTTTAGCGTAATTTATCGGCGTCTGGGGGCTTGGGGTCGGGTTTACAAGCCTTCACCTTTAGCGGTTCTTGCAGGATTTGGGCCACCGACCAGTCAGTCGTATGCTAAAGCTATGGACTTCCTAGATATCACGTGTATTCATGTCAAAGCCCCATACTATACCCCGACGACCGAGCCGAAAGTCCCAAGGCTCTTTGGAACCAAACCCTCATTCGGCATTTGAGTTTGGGATCGTAGCAACTCATATATAGTTACAGCTTAGCTTTCAAGGAGCTTCTGGCGATATAAGATATCTCGAATGGAACCGGATCTGGAAAAATCTGTGCGCTTGGTGCATTTTTCGGGTCCCCAGGTAGAGGAGATGACTCACGGGCGGAGAAGCAGAGCAAGCCGGACGTGGTCTTGGAAGTCCGGCCACATACACAAGATCCCTCCAGTTGCCATGTCGACAGTCCATCCTTATGCGGTGACCCTTAGCTCAGGCGACAAGATCAATGTGGACCTGGGAAGAATTCGCCGCTTCTACGAGACAGGCAGCCGCGTGCGTGTCTTTCGAGGACGACATGGTTGGCACTACGGAACCGTGTTTGAGGACGCCGTGGAAGCAGCAGCGACAACATCAGATTCATCGTTGGCCAAGAGCATGGAAAGCGATAATGCAGACGAGCACATCCAGGTTCGACTAGACGACACGGACGATGTTGTCCCTGTGTCGTGCTATCTTGTATACGGCGGTCTGCTTTCAGTTTAATAAAGTAGACATGCAATTAAGGATGCCGCGTCGATTGGATTCGTACCCAGTGAAAACTCACATGATCGGACATTTTTGAGGGACACATCTTGAACTGAGCCATTTGAGCACCAGGGCCTCGGCTGTTGGTGAAGTTGTGGGAGACATGTTCAAGTGCGGAGCCGATTTGCTTTGCGAACATTGACTTGGCGACACCCGGCGTCGCCCAAAAGCGTCATGCAACAGAGCAGAACAGCAGATGCTACCAACTCGTTTGAGCTTTAAACTTCAACTTTGTAGCAAAGGGACCTGTAGTTAATCGGAATTTGCACTCTATGGGTTGTATTGGAGTCCCCAGTTTTGAGGACAGCAAGCGTCGCATCTGCTGTTGGATTGAAATGTTTTAGGAAATATCGCGCCGAAGACATTTTTTTCTGACCTGTACGTCCGTCGCTGCGTTTGCACGCAGTCCCGGCTCCCGCATTCATTCAGTTGGATGCACGCCATCCAGCAAGAACAACTGGTGCTCTGCACACGTGTGAACCAAGCTTGCATGGCCTCGCCAGAGTTTCAATTGAAACACTGGGCATTGAGGGCTTGCGGAGTTTTGGTACTGACGGCATCTTGCTCTTAACTTCATGTCACTGCAGAAGAGTCAGTCACGTAAAGAGCCTGTTTGATTGTGGAAGATTGACTTGTCCACGCCCAGAACATTGACGGGGTGTCGCCCAAAGGGCCATACCGAGCTTTTTTGCAGAATGTGTGGGCTATTGGTGTCACCGGCTGGTTCGTGAAGCTGATAGGCGATAGGCACCAGCCTGTGACCTGAAACTGCGGATCCTCACCCTGTTGCCGCTGGCAAACGCCATGGATTCATCCTCTGTCTCTTGCCAGTCTTACGGAAATCAAGTGTCGGAGTCGTCAGGCTATCGTGGAGGGTGCGGCCTCGTGTTGGAGAGTATTGGCGGCGTGAACTCGCGACCCACTTGAGGTTTAAGGAGGGGCAAGCTTTCCATGGCACGTGATGGGACGGAACAAGTATGTCAGTACGTTCTGCATGTTGGGCTCATTGAAGCCAGGTCTCATGTGCTTTCACGCTGTTCTGTCTGGCTTGCGGCATTCTCCTTCTCATTCGGAGCGTCCTAAGACATAGTCTTGAGGCAACCGCTCCCTTTTTGAGTTTGCAACGTGATGCTGCGTTCTTGCAACCTCAAAGGGTGACTCGAACAGCCCCTCGGGGATTCGATTTTTCGGTCCTGTATCATCCACGAGTGCATGAAGCACTGGTCGTGAACGCACGTGCAAAGAGGATCTGCCGGCAGAGAGATGGGGCCCAGACATGTATTTATGAAAGGCCGCACGCAAACCCGAGAGATCCAATTTGCAAGCCGCAAGATTTGCCAATTTTCCGTGCCGCAGAAACCCTTTGAGACGAAAAGCGTAAGGGAGTGGAAATCGAGAGCCACGGCCGGAGCAGCAGAGTGTCATGGCTTTTTTGGACACGGCCACTCATAATTGTTTCAAAGCCGCCTGGTAGTCTGCGCCGGGCACCGGAGGTGGCAGTAGTTGATGTGAGAACGGGAGTGCTTATGCCATTAACCATCAAAGTCCCGAAGGATGAACGCGGCTTTGCAGATATCCGACGCGTTCTTCGAACAAGGCTTCTGCATACAAGCATTTCTTGAATAAAAGATAGAACATGTGCAAGAGACTCGCTCGCCAGCTTGATGCACAACCTGTTGAGTCTTTGAGGGCGGGGAAGGAGGGTAAGGATGGTTCTCGGAGCTGTAGCTCCACTGAAGAGGCAGGGCTGTAAGGCCGTAAGGTTTAGGGATTAGGGATAAGGGTTTGTGCTTGTAGGGTGTAGGGGTTAGAGTAGGGATCAGAGTGGATTAGGGTTCTAGGACTAGGGTTTTAGGGATTCGGCATTAGTCGGCATTAGGATCTGGGATTGCAGGGTTGGGGACTGTGGGATTTGAAGGTTTTCAGGCCTCCAGAATCACCAAGTTTGTCTCCCTGTATCACTCCAAGGAGAGGAACCTTCGTATACCATTGGAATCTTGGATCGTACCGGTCCGTGAATCCTGGGGACTAGATGATCTGGCTTCGAGGTTCCAGGTCATGCAGAGAGGTCCACAGCAGAACAAAGTATGTGGCAGCGACTTGCGCCAATTCCGGGATGTCTAGGAAATGCTCAAGACCCCGCAGCTGCCAATAGCCCCAGAGGAAGCGGCATCTGCAGGAACGTGATAAATTTCGTACCATCAAGATACGCCCCCGCTCCTATATCAGGCGGAACACTTTCAGCAATTGTTGTCGAGTAGTCTATACAAAAGCTAGGAAGCTTCGCACCCTCCGGAAGATGCTCAGGAACCCAGCACAGTTGTCGATAGACCGGCCCTCCAGAAACATTTCTCGAACAACAGGACGTCTCACAGTTGGCATAGACTAGACTACGAACTGCTTGATAAGGATCCAGATAGGGTAGCGGCCACAACCTGACTAAAGCTTGAGCCCCGGAACTATCATTCCGTTTCTCGCTTCGGAAGGGAGGAGGGGAGGGAAAGGCGGGTGGGGATGGTATTCAGGGTCTCAGGCCGCATCCAAGGACTTGCTTCTTCCTCCTGAATGAACTCGCGACCCACTTGAGGTTTAAGCAGGGGCAAGCTTTCCATGGCACGTGATGGGATGAAACAAGTACGTCAGTATGTTCTGCATGTTAGGCTCATTGAAACCAGATCTCATGTGACGCGCGCTGTTCTGTCTGGCTTGTGGCTCTCTCCTTCTCATTCGGAGCGTCCTAAGACATAGTCTTGAGGCAACCGCTCCCTTTTTGAGTTTGCAACGTGATGCTGCGTTCTTGCAACCTCAAAGGGCGACTCGAACAGCCCCTCGGGGATTCGATTTTTCGGTCCTGTACCATCGACGAGTGCATGAAGCACTGGTCGTGAACGCACGTGCAAAGAGGATCTGCCGGCCGAGAGATGGTGCCCAGACTTGTCGTCATGAAAGGTCGCATGCAAACCCGAGAGATCCAATTTGCAAGCCGCAAGATTTGCCAATTTTCCGTGCCACAGAAACGCTTTGAGACGAAAAGTGTAAGAGAGTGAAATCGAGAGCCACGGCCTGAGCAGCAGAGTGTCATGGCATTTTCGGACACGGCCACTCATAATTGTCTCAAAGCCGCCTGGTAGTCTGCGCCGGGCACCGGAGGTGGCAGTAGTTGATGTGAGAAGGGGAGTGCTTTATTCAGGGTCTCAGGACGATGTCTGTATCATGAACGAGTGCATGAAGCAAGTTTCTGCACGACCCCTGATTTGTTTTTGGGGTGACTGGGGCTGCACTGCCCCGTGGAGCTTCTTGTCCGCTCATGGACGTCAGGCTCGTGCAGTCAAGACTCCAGTAGGTTTGAGTCCACGAGCCTAGAGAGACGCGGTTTTCCACCTGGAGTGTGCACTTGCAAAGAGGATCTGCCAGAGAGATGGTGCTCGGACTTGTCGAAAGGTAGCGGCAGCACGTAAAGAAAGAAGGATCCAGTTTGCAAGCTATCGAACTCTTTGAGACGAAACGCGCAAGGCGAGTGGAAAACCAAAAGAGCCAAGCCAATGAGTTGCACAGTCTCATGGCAGTCATGTGCACAGCCGCTTATCATTGTCTCAATACTGCCTGGTAGTCATCGTTGCCATCGTAAAGTGCCTTGAAGAAAAGACATGTGTCAGACATTCTGTACATGCCTGCGCCTGACTTTGTGGAGGGTCGAGAGGCTTCTAACAACAAAGGTAGAGATTCACCTGAATGCTTGAGATTTAGTCAAGCCTCGATAGCTGTAACAAGAAATCGTGATGATTGTGGCGGACAAACTATCCATCTGCATGCCCAGAACAATGACAACATAGGGTTGCACGCCATTGCCAGGATTAGCGAGTTGGACACTGTGACAGTACTTGTGGATGTTGACATTTTGTAATGCCACCATGTGAACATCTTCAACTGGATTGTTTTGCTATATCTGTGGGCGAAGTGCAAGTCGCCTCAAAACGCTGTGAGAGGGAGGGAGACGTTTCATCTCTTTCGAACAGAGAGTCCCTTCGGTTCGATTGAATAGCTTTGTCAGGCCCGTGAAAGCTTGCACACTCCCCATGACCGCACGCATGTTAGAGCCCGTGCATAGACTTCGGTTCAACACAATGCGGATAATGAGGGACCTAGAGACTGTGGCAAAACCCTGAACGGGTAAGTTGAAACATGCCATCCGTCGTGCTGCCGCGCGGCTGGAAAGCATGGCTTGTGGTGGACTAATGTGTGCTACATGCATTCGTTGTATCTCGAGCTGTGCCTTTCTGCAGTCACTGCTGCAGGCCCAAGGCCCCATCTGCCTGCAGCAGCTCTCACTACGGCCGTCATTGATATGCAGTTGGCACAACCCGGATGTCATGTGCAGCATGATGTGGCAGAGTTTGCACAATTCTGGGCAGCGGCCCCGGAAATTTCGCATATGAACGGCAGACCCGGGTTCTGACTGCAAGAAGGTGTGTCCAAGGAGGGGTGCATGCCCTGAATGAGCCACTGCCGCGGCTTGCCATAGTGCAATGCTTGGACAACCATGCAGCGCACTCAAAGTCAAAATGTATGTATGTGTATGTATGTACGTACGTGTGTATGTTGGTTTGCTATGGTCTGCTTATACTTGCACATACATGTGTGTATCTCTCTATGGAAACAATTTGACATCAGAGTATAACCCCAAACCCTAAAACCCCAAAACCGCTGAAGTGCGCGCGCACCCGCGCCTCGCGTCCGTCAACACAGTAGCGGGGCATCGCAAACATATGCGCGCACGCACAGGCACCTCGGGTCCGTCAGTCGCAGGGAGTCGCAAACATGCATGCTTGGCATCGAGGACAAAATGGTGTTGTCAGGACACGTGGCGCAAAACAGTGGTGTCAGAAGTGCACGCATGCTGTCGCAAAAGACACGTTGCATCGCGAAGACACGTGGCGTCAAGAAGATGCGGCTTCGCGAAGACACGTGGCGTCAGTTCGCCATCAGGCGTCACCAAATGTGTCGTCAGGACGTGGCGTCAGATCAACAACATGCAGGCTTCACAAACTCATGATAACTCATGTGGCGTCGCACGGATGTGGCGTCAGCAGCTCACTGTACGGACCCATGTGTCTTCGACAAGGTGGCGTCAGAACGCGGCTTCAGGCGCCGCCCAGATACGCGGCGTCACAGGACACGGCGTCAGTACATGGCGTCAGGGGGGCGGGGCCTTCCAAGCATGTGTCGTCAAAATGTGTCTTCAGGCGTCGCCCCCACGGGCCCCCTGTTTTTACCACATCCATTTTTGAGATGTTTTAAGAGAGTTGGGAGATGGCTGCGGATGCCATACTTGGCTGGCTTGTGAAGCCGAAGCATATAAGTTCGAACGTACGACAACGGAGCCGTGGTAGCCCTTTGCCCATGAAAGCTTGAGCGAGGATGCACCAGCACAATGACAAAATGGCCCCAGATCCTGTAGTGTCGGTGAAGTGGGAGTTGGAGCTTTTCCTGTACGTGGAAGTCTGGCATTCTCGGCTGCAGTCTCAGTAGATTAGTGGGGGCTCCTTCAGCAGGAAATGGCACCCAGGCATGTTGGCTCCTCAGTCGATAGCGAAGCCGAACCAGAAAGTCCCCACAAGGCATGGCTCAGGTCTGCGCTATTCTGAACAGAGGCTTGTGCGAATTCGCCAAGGCCTGGGTCGCGTTGTGCTGACACTCAAGCCGTTGCAATTTCTTTCGGAGAATTGCTAGGCTGCAGGTACAGATGTGGCACGCCGAAGGTGCGCTGGTGTGCACCAAAGAGAAACTGATCAAGTAACTTCAGTGAAGTGCAAGTTGCGATGTCATCAGGCGTGGCTTGCATCACAAGTCGCTCGGGCTCACTATACGTTTGCAACAGCAGTGCCAGCAGATGCCAACTTTGCGGCTGTGGCTAAGCCAGCAAGGAGGGCCAGTTGCATTGCTCGTGCGCTTTGTCTGGAGACCTGCGCCCTTGCAGTTGGCATCATTTGAGGTTATTCAGTTGCATCGTTTTGTGCCTTTCGGGGCCCATAGCCGCTGGTCAGGCGGCCCTCCTGTTTTAAAAAAGCGAGAACGCATCTTCATGGTAGTGTGGACTTGGAACCAACATCTATGGCTCCAGCATAATGTCACAAAGCCAGGTCACCAATGTACAGTTTTCTGATGAAAACCCAGCGCTATGTGACTTGGCCTGTCGCGGCTTCTTTGTATATCTCATCGATCTGGTCCTGGATGCAACCAAGACGTACTTGCTGGAACTATCAGCTGGGATCCGCCGGCAGATCTGACCGGCATAACCCACTATCTCGCCGCTTGCTTGAGTATTTGCTGTTCGGCGTTGCTGGAGCGGGGCCATTCCTTTTCCGAGGTTCACCCCGCATGTAGTCCAGATCTTTCCTTCGAGAATGCCGGCGATGGACCTATCATAGTGCACCATGGCCCCGGTGGCAGCCCGCCTGCAGGAGTCTGTTCATCTCACTTCTAAAAGCTGTTCTGGTCGCTGATCCCTGTGCTTGGACTTGGACCCTCACCTTTCGACCTTGGCCACGAGCCGAGCATTTAAAGCTCAAAGTCCCGCGAAAATGCTTCAACCGGGGGGTTCTGGTGGCCTTCCTAGAATCTGGCCTAATGCCAGATCTATATAGATGTAGTGTCGTTTGGTGCTGTTCTTCAAAAGTCAACAAAGGACCTCCTAAGGGGCCGTTAATGGGAGACTTGCATACTCTCTCAGGCACCCTGCAGGATGTTCCAGCTCGGTTCCGAGAAGCGGATGTTTCGAATGCTTGCAACCACTGTAGGCTCCTGAGCCGCAAATTATGCCAAGACACAGGTTGGAACGAACTCCATTCGCGGCGTCGCTGGGAATAATGACTTTTTCTACAAGGCTTGCAGTCATGTCCTCAGCTGTTGCGCTGCATTGCTTGCGACTTGTTACCATGCTATCTGAGCTAAGATGGCACCCAGTTCCAGAATCCCTGGGCCTGCGCCCCGAGTTTGTTTTCAGTTGTGGTGCACGACCCCCTGAGACAAGTTTTCCTAATTTCGTGGGGCCGAAAGGCTGCGTACTTCGTCGTTGTTCCGATGCCGGATCAGTTGCGTGCTTGGTTTGGAGGATGCCGGGGCCTGCTTTCTGCATAGAAGCTGCACCGAGGGGTGTGGCAACATACGGAGTCAGCCACTGTTGCAACCTCAATTCGAGTCGCTACTGCGGTCACTGGTGCTGCTTTGCTCTTTGCCAAGCTGTCCACCGAGAGGTTACGACTATGTAGATGCAGCCAATGGTGGCACCGTCCCCGACCCACCACCACTGTTGTTCGGCACGTTCTCTGACACAGACGGGGATGCTGGCGAGGCATCCTCGGCCTCGAACATGTTCGCACAATCTTAGCAAGTAGCTTGCTGACAGAGTCCCTCGACAGGTTGGAGGCACCTTGACATGGACGGTCGATGGAACGTACAATTATGGGACTTATGACTACACACTGTTGCCTTTGGTCTGCACCATCTTTGACTTTTATGGTGATGGCTCGCGGGCTTACAGCTCTGCTTGCCGTCAAGCTGCGCTCAAAGGTCAGACTACGCGATCTATTTGGCGCTGGATGCTGGCGGCACCGGCGGTTTCGAACTAGCGACAGTAGAACCTGGATCGCTTAGCTTCCTGGCTTTTCTGATCTTTTCTTGTTCGTGCACACCGGATGTTCGTCTCTGGTGCAGTATCTCCAAATGCAGAGCCTCGTATTAGCAGGTTACACCATTCCAGACAACACGGATCAGCAAACCGCGACATGTCTCCTGTGGTTGGCTCAGCTTTCTCTCCTTTCCACTGTCAGAAGGTCTATAATTTTGACATGCGCATGTGCTTGTGCAAGTCTGTCAGCTAAGGATGTATGGAAAGAGCAGGCTCGGCATCTCAGCAACGCCGTCGTTTTCCCACTGCTTTGAAGCCGCTTCCGGGAGCTTCACCACTACGACGGCACCTCGGAGAAACACAGTTTTTTTGCTCGAAACAACATGTATCGCTTTGAATCCTTTTGTGGCCCACTGTTTGAATGCCTGAACTTGCGAGGCAACTGAAGTCACGTCGACGACCAGCCTCACGGTCACCAATACTCTCGATCCAACCCAGGACTAGTCCGCAAAACTTAGCCTCACTAGCTTGCACATGTCGGACGGCAGGCGATGATCACCAATGTCGGCTTCACGGACACGAGTGGATCGGGCTATTGGATTGATGGTACCGTGACTTGGGTTGCTCCTGACAATCCGGCCTTCGAGTACTTCCGCATTGTCATGGTGCCGGCCCGAGTAATGATCTCGCCGAGAGCAGCTGTGCATTCTTGGCTTCTGACAGCCGGCTGTCGACTCGTTTACACCACCCGAGTCCGCGACCAGCACGGGCGCAGATGGTGCTGTTATGGTTGTGCCTTTGATGTCTGTAAGGTGACATGTTCCTGATGCCGTGTGTACATGTAGCGAGCAGTCGAGCCTTGCCAAAGGACAACATCGACAGGACGGCGAGATCATACGAGATTGTCAACTCAGATGCCAGAGGTATCGTGCGCGGGACCGCAGACGTGAATAGTAAGTTGAGACACTGTACCCATTGTGTACAGGACCCTCACTTGTTGGCATTTCGTTGTCCACAGGACTAGCACTGGAGGTATTTGGGCCAACTACATCGTGGTGCAAGCTTATCGATTCTTGGCGTGGGTCTAGCATTGCATGCGGATGCATGTGCACAACTTCTGTCCCTGTCTGAGGCAGTGGTGTTGCTTGGCTTTAAAGTCGGTGCGTGGTGGAGTCCGGGATTCATGGCTTGGTTGATGCACGCCAGGCATTTTCGCCGGCCAATGAGGCTCCGAAACACCCGCCAGAGATCTGATCCGTGGCTTGCTGTGAGAGCGTGAGGCTGGATCTGTGATGCTAACTGATATCTCCAACCTCGATGCCGCCAATGCAGCCGTGGGGAGTTCCGGCCTTGGGGTTGCACTTCTAGAGAGAAACAATCCTGAGAGAAAGAGCACATGCATGGCCTCTGATTCCTTGTTGCTAGCCGAGCTCCTTGCAATTGGTTCTTCTCAGCCACATCGCTACACGCGTAGGCAACTCGAGCGACCAGACAGTCTCAATGGAATGACGAAAAGAGAACCAAGTATACCAAATGGAATTCAACCCCACTTGGGGTTGAAACATGTTGACACCACGGAAGCGGGGAATCGCGCATCTTGCAAGTTCAAGAAAGCAACCAGTTGAATATTCGCCAAGACGGAGACGAAACAGGAAACACTGCCGCCAAGTGTGCAAGAGTGACACTGCTGCTCCTGCCAAAAACCTCAGCAATTCCCTGACGGTAGGCAGACAGCCAAGTGCGTACGAATGTCCTCCAGAGTTCTTGCTGGAGAGAACTGACCGTCACAAGTCGTCACACGTGTGTCTGATTTTGTCTTACTTCGGAAACGTGGTGTGATTTTTCGTTTCATTACTCTGATGCTATTCCAAGTTTGTGGGCGAGTGATTTCTGCATTGCCTCAGAGTTTGACGAATGCATCGAACGCGTACTCTTGTAGAGCGTCTCTGTTTGTGCTTTGCTGGCTCTGTCTGCCGACAGAGTTCGAGTACTTGTCTGCGCCAGCTTTCGGCGGAGATTGGGCCGGACTTGCCCTCGTGGATTCCATTGCCTTCACAGCTACTGAGATGCATCTTCTGCGAGAGAGAGAGAGAGAGAGAGATGCACGCTGCACGAGATGATCTGATTGATGCGTGAGATCCTTTGCGAAGCTTTTGTTAAAGGTGTCTGCAAAGCCCAGGACAGCAACCCCGCTGAGAATCTCCTCACGGGCACGGTCACATGGACCTTCAGCGCAACCACGGACCTGCTTGCAGCATTTGCAGCTTGCAGTGTTCCACAAAGGAAACAGCACATGGCGTCAGACACAATACCTAATGCTTGGCAGGACTATGGCTTTGCCTCGGACTGGCGGGTTTACATCGCAGATGACACGCAGGGTGACCCTCAGTGTAGCACGTTTCCTTCAAAAGGTGTGATTCTACGAACATAAGCAATCTGCTTGCCGGGAGGGAACTGCGCGCTCTTCTACAGCAAACATGTGTCCCACGAATTCTTGATACGAACGGCTGTCCTTGCTTCAAGCAAAGCAAAAGCAAATTCCTGTGGTTTCTGCCGGAGATTCCCTGAGCTGCGGCTTTGGCGGTTGGCCGAAGAGCCGAGCTCGACGGGGCAGGGCAGGGCAGGCCAGGGGCAGGGGCCAGCGGAGCGGAGTTACAGCAGCAAGCACACCCTTCGATGCACAGCGCCAGGTACGAACAGGCAGCTCCTCGGGACAGTAGCGAAGCACCTGACGGAGGTGGGCGCCTTGCAGATGGCAGGGACACATGCTTTTTGTGTGCACCCTCAACCTTTGATCCCTGACATTGTTTGGCAGCTCTCGATCACGGACGAAGCTTGTGACCCGACTCATGTCTATGCAGCTCGGCTGCATCAATGCTCGGAGTATCTTTCATGCAGCTCGTCTTTGTTGTTGGGCTTGCGTAACAAGAGACGGACAGGTCTTGGTGTATGCCAACAATGAGCATGGAGAGTCACCCAACGCCGTGGCATACTTGGAGAGGATGTGTAGTGTGGCACTGCTGGCCCTCGCGAATGTGATTACTGTTTTGCCCAGCGATTGCATGCCAAGTCCTCGGTGTCCTTCTGGGATGATGGCCGCCCGACATCCACGACTGTCACAGTCACGTCCACCACTGCAGATTGGCCCGGCTGTAAGGCTTGGGAACGTCCACCTTCACCTCAACCACTTCTCAGCTGCTCTCCCGCATTTGAGCACTAGGTCTCGGGTTTGAATTGGCTTGCTCAGGATGAGTTCAGGAGTACTGACGTCCGCGATTGTGGACTGTGCGTCCGTTGAAAGAGAATCTGTCTATCTGTCTATCTTTCCCTACTCTGTAGAAGCTGCCATGTCTGCTGCATCTGCGTTGTCAGACAGCTCGGCATTTTCGTGGCAGAGAATAGCAGAAGTGAGTGGGAAAGAGGCATCGGACACTGTCGCTGTTGCGCGCGCCCTTTGGCACACAGCCCGCGGGACCCACGGGAAGCAGGAGCAGGTCAATGAGTTCTTTTCCGGCCTCGACCTCGCATTACTCAGCGTGTTTTTGTCGCATGCGACTGTTGTGACCATAGGACGGCTTTGTTCTTTTCCGTGAACCGGCACATTTCGTTCATAGCCAGGAGGTCAAATTTCTCGGTGAAGCCGGGGGCTGGGTCGAACGACCAGGTAAATGGTCAGCGCGCTCTCGGCAGTGTCGGGCGCAGTGGGTTTGGGGTTTAGGGTTTAAGGTTCAGAGGTTCAGAGCTTCGATGTTGGATGCTTCTTCTCGGTACCCTTGTCGTGGGAAACCATTTCGCGGAATAGGTATAAAAGACCCCCGACGACCCCCCGCGTGACCTGGCTTTTTTGTGTCTATGTCTATGTGCGATTGGACTGATTTCTTTCGAATGGACATTCCTGGTTTGACAACGGCTTCTGCGAGGTTGTGTGGAGATGCTTACGGCCCCGAGTGAGAAGTGATGCGCTTTCCAACCTAGGGGCAGGAGATAACGCAAATGCAGGGATCGAAGAAGGGGCTAGGGCTGGTGAAATGGAGCGCTTGCATTCCCAGCAAGAACACCTCCCAGGCTTGCGAACTTTGGAAACATCGAACTCTTTCTGGTTCAAAAACGTCGCGGCCCTTCTTTCATGCTTGACCTTCGCATCTGAATGACAGGTCGAAGAAGTTGCGTCAATCAATGAAGAAGCAACTTCCGTGAGCGGTGCGGCCGGCTCGTGCATGAGCTGGGTTGTGTGTGCTGCGGCTGTTCGGGCCTTGAACCAAAGCTTGGCTTTTGGCAGGAAAGCGGCGAGCCTGTAGGAGACAGGGCACCTGTGCTCCTTAATCATGTTGCCGGAGATCAACGGCATGCAGTTGGCCCTTTCGCAATGTTCGCAATGTGATGTGGGATCTGAACACATGATGGTGAGCTGACTCATCGCGTCTCTAACTTCCTTAACAGGTTCGAAACGAGCCTGGGTTTTTGATGCTCTTATTCCCACGAGGCAGGTCGATCCTGGAAAACTGTTTTTGCGACGTCCGTTCTGGAGCTCGAGGCTGTGGCTGCTTCTTTGCCGCCGGAATGGGTTTAATCGTTAGACCCTCCTAAAAGACTGGTCCGGGCGTGGCGAGATTAGAAGCGAAATTTCCGACCACAGACACCGGAGCCGGCACGCACACCCATCCATACCTATCCCTTGTGCAAGAGAAAGTGCTGGGATTTTGCTGGCACTAGTTCAGTCTTTTGAACCCAGCTGTTGCTACGCAGAGATTGAGGTGGTTGCAATAGTAGCTCAGGTCTGGCAACTGTGGTCTGAATGTTTTGGGCTTCGTTTGTACCAGGGAGCTTCCTGTGATTCAGGACCGAAACTGGAACTGTGACCGTGACCACGACCCTTTTCACAGTGGGTGTCGGCAACGTGCAGTTCACCGACACCGTTGACACATATTTTTCCATCGGCGGAGTACTGACTTGGGAAACTTGGCCTGAAATGTTCTGGTCGCACGTGACCCATGTGCTGGTTTTGCAATCTGAATTGCCAGGAAGAGCCAGCAGACACGTCAGGTATCACAGAGTATCGTGCCTTGGCAAGATAAGATGCTTTGCGTGAGCTGTCATTTCGATCTCGAAGGAAAAAATTGCGCCCCACCCCTCCTGGCATTCAAGCTCATTCTGTCGCCTTCACAGAACGCTTTGAGACAGGGCACTGACCAGCCCGGTTTTCAGCAATGCTTGACGGCGGGTGGCCTCTGCACTTCGTGCTCGGCTCGTGGACGGCGACAGGCCTCGGGTTCAACGCCCTGGGAGGGCCCATCCCTCCCTGGCAAGCTTGTCGAGCAACATGTTCGGGCTGGCCTGGTTGCAAGTCGGCCTGAAGACAACACAGCTTACTCAGTGATAATCGGTGCGATCCCGCGTTGAAGCAACATGTCTGCGGGTGATCGTAGTAAGCCTTTTTCATCCTTCTTCCGGGTCGGAGAGAAATCCCATATGCTGTTCCACCCAGGCGTAAGGCTGGTTTTCGATGTCGCGGCCTCACGAGAGCAGCTCGTCTACGAGCCAGACCTTGGCTTTGCCACGCAACTTGGCTTGATATCAGGGGCCGGAAGTTTCTGCAAGCGGGTCTAACCAGAGAGACTAGCTGTAGTTAGTGCTGTTAGGAGTGCTTTGCATCGGACACTAACGTGTCAAGTGATTCTTGCCAACTTGCTGCGGGGTTAGAAGCAGCTCAAGAATCAAAACTAGGCACAGCGTGATGGATCCCGTTGCTCCGAGGGCCGTGCCGGTCGGGACGACCCGGTTCAAAATTCTGGATAACACACAAAGGAGTCAGATGAGTCAGACTTGCGGGGTCAGTCTTGGAATCTGACGGACAAGTCTGGGTTAGCGTGAAAACTGCTGAATGTTGTGTGTGCCTTCTTTGCAGGAGATTTGCATGCTGTGATCCGTCGAGCTATCCTGCAGCCTGGCTCATCGTGTGCTCCTGAGTATGCCACACCCCGTAGCCTCCAGCGCGTCGCAGGAATGCTGCGGAGCGTCAGACTGTTCAGGTCTACATCGTCAACGGATCTATACAGCAGGAGGCCATTTACGCTGGCCATGCCCTGATCCGGGCCCGGCGCTCAGTGCCTTTAGCTGAATCAGAACTGCCACGGGCCCCTGCACCGAGGACAACCAGACGACTCACGTAGCAGACAGCCTCTACGTTCAAGAGCTGCAGATCGTGGCGGGGTGTTTGATGCAACCTTGCAGATTGTTTCGAGTGTGTACACAATGGCCCACAACCTGTCAGGACACGACCCCAGAAGCCCAAATCAACATCACGCTGACTGGAGAGTTGTACTGGCGCAGAGCTCAGTTTGCGAGCATAGGGAGTAGTTGTCGTCCTCGTCGAGGTTGGCAGAGGCAGTGGCAGTGGTAGCGGTACTGGTCTTTTAGGGCCATGTGGGCTTGGGTTTTAAATCAGTCTCAGAGTCCAGGGTTTGGGGTTCTTGGCAACCATAGCAGCTTTTCGATTTCGTTTGGGATGGTTGATGATGGTGATGACAGCTCCTGTAACTCTAGTCAGTGCAAGGGCTCAAAAAATCCGACTATGGTGCAACCAACAGAACACGAGCTTGTGAATCCGTGCCACCGGACTTTCCGGGCGTAGCAGTACCAAGAGTATGTGCAACAAGGAGAGACCTACTCGGAAGGAGGGAGCAATTCACCCCAAGAACAACACCCGACGACAACAACAGCAAGACGTCAACCAGTGCTCAAGCCAGGGGTTGAAAGGCTCAACGGTTAAGCTCTGTACTATACTATACCATTGTCAAGAACTGCAAGAAGTCTTTGAGTAGCTTTAGTTGGTACCTCATCACGGGCGAGAGGCGTAGCGTGAGCGAATGAAGGCAATGAGACGGAAGCTTAAAAGGAGCTATAAGTAGTACGACTACAGGGGAATCGAAACCCAACTCTTTTCCCAAGACGTAGAACCGGCCAGATCTTTTCCTCTCTTCCAGGAACACCAGCGGCCCGGAATATCCAAATGTGGGGGAGGACCCGGTCAGACAAGCCGTTGTACAAAGTTTCTGCTTGATGTTTGTAGTCTTTTCTATTCTTTTGGGATCGTGGTGTGAGAAGAAGTTGAAAGGATTGGAGCCTGATTGACCAGTGGGACATCTACTTGGCACAGGCGACGGTGCATGGCAGCAACAACACTGGCAACCGGTGTCTAGAGTCTAGATTGCTACTACTAGCAATTGCTGCAAGAGTCACAATGACTGTGACGGAACCTTTTGTACGATTTCGATGCGTCTCCCTGCGACAGGGTTCCAGCCTGTCTTCCAGCCAGAGGCCGCAGCACCGCACCGATGCTTGCTCAGCCCAATTGATTCACGGGCTGTCCCTGCAGGTATATCGCTAGTGTTCCTCTAGCGACCAAGTCGTACATTTTCACGGCACAGCCGTTCAGCGCTCAGACAAAACAATCCGACCGTCGCGGATGAATTCACAGCCAGCTCAGGTTGAATCAAGGGGACGACACGATCATCGTCTATGCGTCCAATGCAGTCGGAAAGGTGCGGTTTCTGGTATCCACACCAGGCGCTTAAGAGAAAAGCGGCTTTTCGCGAGGCACCTTTTGGCAGTGTGGCTGCCCAAGCTCCTTCAAACAGGGTCGTAAGTTGTGCCGATCTTGCACGCTGAGAGAGGTCGTGCAGTTCGGCCAGTTCGGGGGCCTTCAGACAACTTCCACCACAACGTATTCTTCTACTTCCACGAAGCCTCTGACATCCATGAGCGGACTTACTGCCGGAAGCTTAGACTGCCTGAGCTCGACAGCACTGAGAGTACCACATTACCATCGTTTACAGCTGTCTACAGTTTCAAGAGGTCAGGTTTTTTGGATGCCGGGAATGAGACTAAAGTAACTAAAAAGAGGTCACTTTCACCGACACGGACACCGACGCAGGTACTTTGCTAGGCCGGATGCCGTCAGACGGGCCATTGGAAGGGAATGGAGTCGCCATGTGGCAAGGCACAATCACCTGGGACCCTCCCGCCGATCCCAGTTTACTGACGTCGTCCGAACCTGAGCCAGACAGCGAGCCAGACAGCAAGTGACTACGTGACCCGAAGGCGCTCTCCACGCTTCTGTCATAGCATGCCAGGTATGACATCTACATGTCCAGCGACCAGCAAGGTAGTGTGCTGGCTGCAAGTGGGTGTGCGGGGTGACATTCGCGGGCTTTGGGCTGGCACTAATCAGCTCCACTCATGCTGGGAAGCTTCGCCGACGGTCTGGGCGAAGAGAACGGGGGTTCATCTGGGCAAATCGTTGTGCGGAAGACAACAAGGCACGGTAAGCCCAAGGGCTTGGAAGCATCGAGCCGGTCTTCTGATTTTGGGAGTTGAGCCCAGGCAATGAGCAACAACTCGCTCTGGTGCCCTCGAACACAAACTCATACACAATCTCGGCCCCGGCCACAAGAACGCATGAGCCTGAGGTCTGTAGTTGTGCCAAGCCGCTTAGCAACGTTGACGGTGTCATACCCTGAGGACAGGCACTGCCTTCCCTGCAAACTGGCTGCTTGTGTACCCAAGCATTGTTCGATCCTCAGAGTTTGCCGTGGATTTCGTGAAAGCTCTTGCAGCCTGCGATGCCTCCCGACAGGGTGGGACTATCTCAACCTACATTGATGCAGCCAGCTTGCCACTGCCGGAACCTTGGAATCACAGGTTCTGTTGCTCCTGTTTGCGGAGTTTTGCACGTGTGCAAAGAGTGACAAGCATGACGCAGTTTCCTGAGAGTACAGTCTTCTGTTCGCTTTAAGTCAGCTTCTTCAGTTCGGAAGTTCGCAAAGAAGCACCCTCCGCAGCTGAGCTCCGAGGCCCGAGTGTGTAAGAGCTTTTTCGCTTTCGCTTCGGTTCGCCGCCATGTCCTGGAACGTCGAAGGGCAGCAGAGCGCCTCGAGTGGAGATGACCTATGGTCCGCTTTGGTCACCGTGGCCGAGTCAGAGATGGAGCGGATCGAGTAGTACATGGTTCGCTTGCAGGACTCTGACCTGCAGAAGATCAGGGCCGCAGCCACCGCAGCACTGGTCGCTTACTCAAGGACCCAGGCAGCCGAGGCGGATGCGTCTGCGACAACGACAGCCGAGGCGGCCAGTGCAAGTCAGGATGCTCTGGTCGCTCCGCAGGCCGCCCCGACGACGCCCTCTACCACTACGGCCGCGTTTCCAACTCCTGGACTTCCCGCGGGTGCAGTTTCCAACAAGGCAAGCATGGCGGTAGCACAGAACACCGGGCCGCAGTTCGCGAAGGACACAGCACCAGCAACTGCCGCCGCTGCCAAGGCCATGACCAACAGCAGCCCCGGCCAAGAAGAAGACGCCGGTAAAGTGTCCGCCCAAGGACCCTGCGCACCGTCCGGCGCCGAAGGAGCCCACGTCCGCCGAGGACGCGATCGCCCTGCTCATGGACCCCACCACCTCGACTACCACGACGGCACCACCGGCAGCGGTCGCCAAGGAGCCTACGGTCAAGGCCATGCCTGGCCAGGTCGCAGCGACACAGCAGCAACCAGATGTTGCCGCAACCTCGTCGGGGACAGCAGCCACTGGTTCGCAACACCCGTCCGGCGACACTGGGGCCGCACCGACGGACGACGGTCCTGAGCCTGGACCACCTGGGCCGCGTGACCCTCCGCAATTTGCGCCGCCACTAAGATACACCCAATGGCCGCAAGCGGATGAACAAGGACACGAGTTCGGGGAGGCTCCTCCAAGCTATACCGTGACATTCAGTCCGAATGCAATGTCCGCTGCCCCGGCTGTTGGCTCCGACGATGTCGCAGGGTCAATAAGGCCGGCCATAGAAGGCCGCACGAAAAGCATTTATGCTTTGTGCAGGAGTCGCTCTCCCTGTCGTTCAGGTCATTGGAAGATGGGGATCCATGTCAGTGATGCGCTTTGCGCAGGACGCAATTTTCGTTCCAGACAGGACCGCGTTTCAGGTCCGCTCAGCTCTAACCGCAGTCCCGCACTCAGAGCCTTCGTCCAGTTCGCGCCCTAGTGCGGGGGCCGTTGTGAATAGAGATGAGATCGACCCCGTAGTCCGTAGAGTGGTCGCAGAGTGTTGGCAGAGCCGTGCAGTCTTCGTTCACAACACGCGAACCAAGTTCGCTCACAAGCCGTGCGAGAATGAACAGGCTTTGCAGAGCTTCAACTGGGTTTCAGTTTGTGGTCGCTGGCACATGGTCGTGCAACCATTTGCGACACCCCTCAGTTTTGCCAGGTTTCGTCAAGTGCGCCAAGTGTTTTCCTGAGGAATCGGTCGGTCGCAGCGCTCAAGCGCAGCCACTAGCCGCTTCTCCTAGCGAAGAGTCCGCTGAATCAGGCAGTGACAGTTCGGATTCATGACGGCTTCGCTGGCCGGTTCGCTCCCCAAGTTGGAGGACCTGTCTGTGACGTCAGGCCTCGACAAGCAAGTGATCGTGTTCCTCCGCGACAAAGGGAGCAGTAGCTCGGGAGTTCTGTACCACATGTTCGCCAACCGTGCCAAGATCGTGAAGACCTTGGAGCCGCTGAAGCTCGGAGCTGACGAGCTCAAGTTGGAGGAGGTGGCGCCCGACGTGGCAGCTGCAGTTTTGGAACACATGGTCGACGAGATCGAAGTCGCACGATCATCTCACATGTCCGCAGCTACGACTCCTCCGAGTTCGCAGACTCCGGCAGCCTCTTTGACTTCGGCGCCAACCGACCCCCAAAAAGCTCGCCCGGCCCAAGGTCAAGGAGTACGAGTCCGCACAGATCGAAGGTCGCAACAGAAGCTTCCCCGTCCACCTGTAGTCGGAGCGGAGGAAACGCTTTCGAGGTTGGTCTACGAGAACGAGACCTCGCGCCTCTTTAGCCCGGTGAAGCTCGGCGAGATCATTTCTGCCCGCAACTTTACCCCGAGTCGCCAGGTTAACCCGTGGGCCAAGTCAGACGACAAGTTCTCGGAGCTGCTCAGCCTCGACGCCTCAGGTTCGCTGGTCCGCAAAGACACAAGAGTGCCGGAGCCACAGAAAGCATTGACCATGATGTTCGATGCTTTCGAAGCAATCCGCTGGGCGACGGTGTTCGCAAGGTGGGGTGAGGAGTTCGTGATCGGCCACAGAAGTCGCGCAGTGGATACACCAGTGGTGGCGATTCTTTCAGAAAGCTTGCAGCTTAAGGTTCGCGCTCATCCTCGAGAATGTCGTCATGGCCAAAGAAACCCAGGCGACCCTCGACGATCTCCTGGGCACAAGTTCGTTTATTTGCGATGCAGCTTCTTTCGGACTGGTCAGTCGCCCCCGACTTTGGTGGTCGACTCACATCGTGCCGCCTGAGCAATCTCAGCAACGGTCGCACCCCGGATCGCTTCAGGGATGGCGCGATGGCGACGGTGGAACCGCCACTGGGAGCTTGTGCCAGCCAGTTCAAGGTTTCCAAGGCAGGTCGCAACTCAGTGCAGAAGCGGCAAGTTCAGCGAGCAAGTCGAGAGCGGGTCTGTTCGCATTCCGTGTCTCACGACTCCGTCTCCGACCGCAGAGGGTCGCCCTCCTCCTCCGAAGAGGAAACGCGACGAGTCGCCAGAAACCTTGAGCAGATGGAGAAAAGACAACAAACAGTTCGCTCCTTGGCAGTATCGGGCGTACGCCCTCGTGGAAGAGAAAGGGAAGCTTGGTCCGCCGTCGTCGTCGGGTCGCGAGTTTCTCCACGACTTCCCAGAAGGCTTCGGCTACGCCAATGCAACCTCGGGACGAACAGCAACGTCTAAGGCTTTCATCTTTCGGTTGGAAATGCTGGCGCAGGTTCTCTCGGTGATCGTTCTAGCTCCACAAGTTCGCGCACATGTTCCTTGCTTTATTTCACAATTCGTCAGCAGAGCACGCTCTTCAGAAGGGTTTCTTCAAGGACAGTCTTTTCACCAAGGTGCTCGGTTGTTTCGCAAGATTCTTGGCTTCTCATAGCATCGCGTTGAGCTTTCATAGGGTCTCGTCCGCAGCTAACGCCTCTGATGGAGTTTCTCGAGACGACTGGTTGCTGACAGCTTCGTTGAGGTGTGTTCGCAGAGAGTTCGACTTCTCCGGCGCCTACGACTGGCTCCAGCGCCTCCCAGAGTTACCCGAGGGCTCTCTATTCACGACGCTCGTGAAGTTCGCGGAAGGTCTCAGCGCGCAGAGTGTGGCGGAACAGCGCGCACGAGTGGAGTGAGTTGCGCTGTTCGTACAGAACGGAGGGTCGCGAATCGGGACGTGAAGGGTCCAGGTTCGCAGATCACAAAACCACTCCAAGACTTTCGGGTCGGGAAAGAAAAGAGACGTCCGAGAATCCGAAGCGAATGCTTTCGCTGTGTTCGTAACGAAGTGGTGCTTGTCGGATTGCTACAACTTTGGCGGAGAGTTGTCGAGATTGTGCGCTGTCGCCAAGCACAGACGAGGTACGACAACAGCGGCGCCGTTCCTGACCAGCCATCCTTTGCCACGATCACCTTCGCCGATGAGGACGGTTGGCTCTTCTAGGCAGCCTCTCTGACCCGCAGTGTCCTGGAGGATCCTGCGGGCAACTTCGCCTCAGGAACCGTAAGGCCAGGCTTGCATTGTCCGGCCTGCATTGTGCCAGGGACAGCAGTTTAGAAGCTGACGCATCTTGGAGGGTGTGCCATGCGCACACGAAGGTGGACACTGGCCGCGACAATCGACTTTGGCCACATCACCCACTATGCTGTGTACCTTGCTGAGGACCAGGCTCAAAACCGAATCATCAGGTTATATGCCAGCAAGTGAATGATTGATTGTTGTTGGAGTAGGCAGGGAGGCAGGCAGGCAAGTGGGCTGGCAGGTGGGTGGATGGGCAAAGAAGCCAGGAAGTAAGGAAATAAGCAAATCGGTAAGTAAATAAGCGGCAAGCTGGCGGAATGTGGGTCGTGCGTGTGCGCAGGCCTTGTCTCTGTTCACGTGGTGCCGGGTGTTATCAGATGCATCTTGCATGCCCTACTCACGGCTGGTGGGCCAACAGTGAGTCTAACAGCCACTGCAGATCGGGACTTGCATCTCCACTTTTGTTTACTCAGCTGATAAGTTGCGTCTAAGATGTGATCTCGAGTGCAAGCACTGAGCCCGCAGCCTCATTCCTCGCGAGGCCGGCTTGAACAAGGTTGCTTTCGGCGACCCTGTCACATGGGACGTGACGGAAGTGGTGGTTGGTACAGGCGCGCTGGGGTCTGCAGCTCCTCTAGAGATGGCTCAGAGCTCTGGTTGACAGGCATTGAGCTGAGCAGCAGGTACCATGTTGGAAGCTTACGAACAGAAAGACAGGCGTGGCGAATGTGCATGCTGCGATGATGGAGACTCAGGTGGTAATCTATGCTGTCAACACGTATGGAGAGTCCCTCCAACCAGGTGGGAAGCCGGTGTCCAGCTTGAGATCTTGGCAGTCGTGCTGCGCCTGTCAGGCAACATTGCGTCTTCAGGCGGAACATCAATCACCTTTGGAGATCTGGGTTCATCAACCACCACCACGGCGCGGGCCTGAAAGCTGCAAGGGCAAGGAGGCGCTTGTCAGACCTTGACTGCCTGAGGTCTCAACTACAGCAATTAAAGACATGTGTTAAATGCAATAAATACAATTCGAAAAATGCATTTGTCATTCGTTCTTGCACTCGTAAATACATCTGCATTCAACATTTGTGTTTTTGTTTTTGCCGTGAAAAGGGGAAAAATAATAGGATATTGAAAGATTGATTTGATAATATTGCCCATGCCCGAAGGGCAAGCTGTTAACACTAGTGTTCAAGTAATACCTTTTGTTATCATCACTACTCAGTGCTGTTTTACTTGGTTTATGGAATATATTTGATGGTTTCGGCTTCTTATGTCATTGAATGAAATTGTGTCGCATTTATTGTGTTCCAACGTTTCTGCGCAACAATACCCTTTGCCTTCGTTTCTTCTTTGTCTTGTTTGTAGATTTTAAAGGCGTAGCTCTTGGGCTTAAGACCTATAAAATGGGTAATCATTTTACCGTCGACTTCATCCTTAAATTTCTTGAGCACCTTCTTGTTAGCTGGGTCAGAACATCTATGTTCTTTCTCATAGCCGCTAAAAAACATGTGTTGCTTAGTACTATTAAAATCATCAAAAACATGTTCTGTTTCATTCTGTGTAACAAAGCTGTCAGTGTCTGTACAAACTAACCTTATTTTGTCTTCATACTTCTTAATCAATACATCATAGTAAGACGAGTACATATGTAGTTTACTTCAATCTCATATACTCATTCCTGCATATCGGCGTATTTAGTTTGATTTTTTATTTTAGTTTTTTCACTCCTACGAGATTTTCGTTGGTGATGTGTCTGTGTTTATAGGTAGGTGCATTCACTACCTTTTGAAAGCGTTCAGGTGTATCGGCTGATTCAAAATGAATGTTTTCCCTTACATTTTCGCCGCTTTTCCATACACAGCGTTATTCATTAATTTATACATATCCTTTTCAAAGTCGCTGGTTGCTTGTTTTCTTTTATCAGTGTTAAAATCAGTCCATGTTTGCAACCAGTCTTCTTTGTCTAACCACTGTTACATTGTTTCGCAAAGTTTATCCATACACTCTTCGCCTCTGTATAAATATGGTTTAACTTCATTGGTAATTGAATTAACAACAATTAACATATAAGCTGATGGGATGTGATTTTGATAGCAGCCCTTAAGACCTTCACTAAGGATTCAATATCACCATAGATAACATAAGGGCATCTCATTTTTGTAGTACTGTTGAACACATATTTCTTTTTCGATTCGTCTGGCATTTGTATTGATTGAACCTCATTAGGCATACAACCTGTTCGGTAAACCTGCGCTTAGCAACTTCTCTTGGTTAAAGCCTTTTGGACAAAAGCGACAATGAAACACTTTGTGACCGTTCTTGTTTGGTTGGTTTCCCATAACTCCTAGAATACTCTTTAATCAAAGCATAGTGGCTTTCATTATCCTCATCTAACCTCAACAAATTCATGTGGCATCTTGGTTCAACTTTTTGCCCCTCTATTTACTCATATTTTTGTTTATCTTCATCAATGATACAAACATTTACTGAAAAGAAATCTCAAAAGTGTTTATGTCATCATTACAAACAGGAAAATTAAGACTATCCTACTTCATAAAATTGTCGTTTTCTACTGACTTGTTGTAGTGATGCATTCTTGAAGCGTGGATAGTGGTTTTGTAAGATTTCTTTAGTTTCAGTCATGATTTCTTTAATGGTTTGTTTTCAATGGTAATTTGAGTATCTGATGCCATATT